GAGCGTTCTCATGTAGGCTAGCAGTAGGGTTTATACAGAAGAATTGAATTATTGGAAATGTACTTAAAGAAAGGCAATTAGGCAGCCGAAGGTAGGAGTCCTGAGGGAGAGTAGAGGGCAGGGAAGGGGAGAGGAGGGAGAGCCAGGCTGCAGGTCCCACTGGAGGCCCTTCCCAGCATGCCCCTAGGCTGCTTCCTCAGCACGGCTGGGTGAATACATAGGAATTGCAAATTCATGTTCCAACTGGACTAAGCAAAAAATCGAATCCAGGTGATCTACACCAGGAGGAAATACACTCCAGTCAGGTGCAAGCACCCTGAGGGTCGCATGGAGTTCTGATTACCTGCGCTCAATTGCTGTCCTTGGCCAGAGAATCTGGAGTTGGATGGAGTTACTTGTCATGTTTGCTGTTCTGTCTGCATTCTGAGAGTGTTCATTTGCAGGTTCATGTGCTTGTTAGTATTTGAGTTCTCAGTTCAAAGCATGGTCTTGGGATTTTTCTTTCTTTTTCAGAATGCAGAAATATATAAGATGCAAAAATACCTGTGCCCAGCATTTCAATCTCAGCTGGTTGTCCTGCTGTTAAGTGGACTAATTTTGAATACAGCGATCCCCTTAACATCATTACTGATAGTCATAATTTCTTGTATCCTAGATTTTACGGAAGGGGTTAGACTGAAATGAGCTAAGGATTCACTCTGTGGCCATAGCTTTGGGATGAGTTCTTGAGACAATGCTCTATCCTCAAGGAAGGAGAGGAGGACCCTTAATCCCAAAGGGTATTTCTCATCGTTGGCCACAGTCAGGTGGTCCTGGATCCTCTGCTTGGATTGTAGTGTGCAGGAGCTCAGGCAGATTAGGGCAAAGGGCCATCTGGTGGCTGGTTGTAGGTGCTTCTTTCCTGAAGCACCCTTATGTCATCTACACCAGGAGAATTTGAGGTCTGAGACCATCTGGCTCACAGACAATAACTTAGTCAGAACTGGGCTCTTACCTCCTTGGCATCTGCTCAGGTGAGCTCGGCTGCTCTGCCCTCTCACATGTGGAGTTGAGACCTTGTGTCCTGCCACCTTGGAACAGAGCCTGGTTCACCCAGGAGTAAAGAACCTGCTCTTGCAGCAGTTCCCGTTGCCATACCTTATGTTCCTAAGTTTGCAAGTTGGCTGACCGTGAGGCCCCAGCATGGCAAGGCCAGTGCTCACCTGGCACCTCATACAGTGGTGGTAGTCACTGCCAGAGCAGTCACAGCCTCTGCATGCATCAGACATCCAGAATGTCCTCGAGGTGCTACAAGCAGGCAAGTCTCTCAAGTATACTGCCTCACATGTGCCTATAACTTTCCAGAATGATCCTTTAAACGCGCTGTTGATGTCCTATTAGCCCCTGTTTTCCTCCCAAAGAAATTTGTGTTTAGCTGCTAGGTAACCTCCTTGTGTGAAATTTACAGGTCTGCCAGCCATAAAAAAAACATTAATGCATAATACATAAACAAAACCTATGCTCTTTTTGCAAAAAAAAAAAAAAAGAGGGGGGGGCGGCCAAAAAGAAAGAATGGAATTCAGTCCTTGCTTTCTAAAGGGAAAAAGCATGAACCTTGCATTTTCAGTTTGACGCCTTTTTGCCTTAAATATATGAGATGACTATTAATGCCCGAATTCACAGTAGGGGAGAAGGGAAATGGCAGTAAATTGTAAAGCACATTTACATTATAACAAGGCCCACAGAAGCATTGTAACTCACACGGTTATTTCAACAGAGGTTTGGACGCCCTCCAATTTAATTTCCTGAAGTCGGGCTGTGCAGCTGGGTCATTGCTGGCCTAATCTGGGAAATGTGGCTCTGAGGCTGTGCATCAGAATGCCCTCCTCCAGCTGTCACCAAGCAGCGTCATTTACAGCCACTGAGGTCCAGGGCAAAGCATCAGAATCACTTTGTGTAGACACTGCAGCCTGCTGGCTTCATAAATTCTGTTACGGAGAGCAATAATCAATATTTCATGTTTAATCATGCAGAGCCAAAATTAGTATAGACTTTATGTCTTCTACTTTTCCAAATTATGCAAATACCAGTAACCCCTTTCCAGTGCCCTTTTCACACTTTCATTTAAAAAAGGGGCATGTGGGGGTGGGGAATTCTAGTAATATTTAATTGAACAATTGAACCGTTGAAAGCATCAGAAATAATGTTGGCTTTTCACTTCTTTTAAATAGTCACCCTCAGGCTAACATGGAGCTGTTCCAGCACAGAAAGCTGACTTAGTGAGTGTCACGGGTGTGTCAGCTGTGGCTGCACAGTGGAGCATACTGCAGAGTGCTCACAGGCTGTGTGGCCTTCGACACCGTGGACATGCCAGGAAAGTCAAGAGGCTGCGTCTGGACAGGAGTGCACTTCAGAGAGAAAGCAATTCTGAGAAAATTTCTGATGTTAAGCCTATCCAGACACACCCTGCTTGTTTAGACTGTGGAAATGGAAGGGCCAGCAAAAAGCAGGAAAAGTGCTTCCTTACTGGGTAGGCCTAGGGGCTGACCATGTGGCTGCAGAGGTGAGCACATCCACCCCCAGCCATGTCCACTGCTGGCACCAGGAAGACACCTACAGGAGTGATGCAGGAAGGGAGGCCAGGCACCAAGAAAGAGCCATGAGCTACTGTCCACTATGATGGTTCACGCCCAGGTTACTTCAGAAGGCCCCTTAGTCCAGTGGGCAGCAGGACCAGTCGTCAACCAATCGTTAGCATGGCAGCCAGTGCTCACGCCTTGCCACTCAGCAAGGCTCCCCCTGGGTTTCACAAGGGGAATTTGGAACTCAGTGTGTTGAAGTTGTATCTGAATAACTCAACTTGTACCTAGCAGAGAGGTTTAACCTACATCTTAAAGACAGAAGCTAGCTGGATGCTGTGGTGCACACCTGTAATCCCAGAAGTTCTGGAAACTGAGGCAGGAGGATTGCAAGTCCAAAGCCAGCCTTAGCAACTTAGCAAGGTGCTAAGCAACTCAGTGAAACACAAAATAGGGCCGGAGATGTGGCTCAGTGGTTTAATACCCCTGAGTTCAATCCCTGGTACCAAAAAAAAGAAAAAAAAAGACAGAAGCTATTTAGAGCATGGTAGAAATCATCCTATTATTTGGTCAGTGAAATGGAGCCAGAAAATTGGCTTGAGGACAGCTTCTCCTCCAATGGGTCAGTCATAGTGCCGTTCTTCAGTCAATTAATATGATTAGTCAATAGTTAATTGAACTTTTGACAGTAGAAAACAAGGACAACTCAGGGTCTTGGGGTGCATGAGCCAAGATCCAGGGATAAGACAGTGACTTGTGAGGGCATGGACACTTTCACAGAGCAACTCCACACTGGTGGGCCTGGGTGCAGGGGAACCGCAGGGTTGGGAAGCATCTGGGCCTGAATGGTTGTGGGACAAGGGCAGGGAAGGAGGAGGAGGAGAGAGAGCAAAGGAAGTAGGGGAGGCAGGGAGGGAAGGAGGGGCAAGGCCACCCTGTGTGGAGCCACCCTGCCAAGGGACAGAGTCCTGGGACTCCAGCTCCTTTCCCACCCCCTCTCTCTCCAGTGCCTCCAACTGCTAAAGCCACAAACAAAGTGTCCTAGTTAATGAAGCCCAAGGCTATGAGTTTCCAGGGCACAGAGGAGAGAGGCAAGAGGATGTTTCAGCACTAGGCTACCGAGGCAGACACGCCTTCAGCATGCACAAGTGCTTCTTTCTGGGAATGGGCAATCAGGTGGAGGTGTTGGCAATGCTGAGCTCCAAGCTTGGCAGAGCAGGCAGTGGAGAGGGGCTAGTAACATTGGGATCACCACAGGCCACTGAGGAAGCAGGGTGAGTGCCCTGCCCTCCTCTCGGTTGGGAAAACCTGTTGAATAAGGGGAAAGTTGGGGAGGAGCTCAACCTGCATGTGTGGCACGTGATTCACAGTGGAGGCCCTGAAACAGGGATCAGTCAGCCCTCTGTCTGCACAATCAAATACCTGCAGATGGAGATCATTCAGGAAAACGTGTCAGTATGGAGCCTGCATGAATTTCCTCTTGTCCCTCTCCCTCAACAGCACAGTGTCACCACTCTTGGCCCAGAGTCTTCATTGTGAGGACTCAGGGTTGACTTGAAACATACGGAGTAGGTTGTAGGGCTGCCTCACCATGTCAAAGGTCAGTGGACCTTGTGACCTCTGCCCTGCAGAGAGCAAGGGATGGCTGCCGTCCCACAGGGGCTGCCTCTTGGGGCAGGCTGCTAGGGTGTCCAGGAAGGGTTGTGGTCTCAGGGAATGGAATGAAGATCTGTGAGGTCTTCAAATCCTCAGTGTTGCTAGGGCTGAGGACAGGGGCTTCGCCAGGAAGTGGAGCTGTGTCCTTCATACCCTGTAGCACTATGGGTGCCTGAAGTGCAGGGGAGGTCTATGCATGTTTGAGCACCTGGCTCAGGGAAGAGGTTTCTAAGAGGGAGAAGCAGCCTCCAGAGTTGGAGACCCCAGGCTTCTGCAGTCTCTTCCCAGCAGCCAGGAGCCAGCACTGTGGACGGAGCCAGGTGGAAAGAATGGAGGTCAGAGCCCAGCACAGTGATACCAGTGATTCCCGAGGCTGAGGCAGGGGATTGCAAGTTCAAAGCCAGCCTCAGCAACTCAGTGAGCCCTAAATAACTTAGTGAACCCTTGTCTTCAAATAAAAAAGAAAAAGGGCTGGGGATATTGCTCAGTGGATAAGCTTCCCTGGGTTCAATCCCCAGTACCAAAAATAGAAGAGTGGAGGTGGGGTTGTATCCCCACCCTGGAAAGCAACTGGAGAAGCATCTTCAGAGATGGAAAATCCGTCTGAGTGACAGTATTGTATCCAGTTAAGTCAAGGATGAAACTGCCTTGTGTGTTCACATTCATAACAATGTCTGGAACTTGAATGGGGTATTGTCTCAATTTGACTAATAACTGCCCTGAGTATTGTTGCCATAAGTTCCTGACACTAGTTTGTGATACACTTTTTTTTTTCCTTTTTTACAGGAAGAGCTGAAAAGATTGCAGAACCCTTTAGAACAAGTCAACGATGGGAAGTATTTGCTTGAAAAGTAAGTAAAGAAACTTAAAAGGGATCTAAATCATTGGCTAGGTTAAAAGGCTTTCATGAAAAAAAACTCAGTTGGATGTGGTGGTGCACATCCGTAATCCCAGCAGCTTGGGAGGCTGAGGCAGGAGGATCACAAGGTCAAGGCCAACCTCAGCAATTTGTGAGACTCTAAGCAACTTTTTGAGACCCTGTCTCAAAATAAAAATTAGGATCACATGGTACTCAGATGTCCATGGTGTGTGCTCCAGGGATTGAGACTTAACACTTCCATCTTTAACTTTAGTCAGGGATATTCATAGAAGGCATTAATTGTGCAAGAAGTATAAGGCTAACCCAAAATTAATAGAATAATAGCATGAACATTCAAAATAACACTGCAAAACTATGTAAGACTGAGCAAAAGGAAAGGCAGGGGTGGGGAGAGAGAAAAGCAATGAATAAAGACAAAAATAGTGTCTACCTCTTAAGTTTTTAAAAACTGTCCAGTTAGGCATGTGAGATATGTATCCTGATTTCAAGTTAGGGGTAAAAGCTTTGAGTTTTTTTTTTTTTTTTTTTTTTTTTTACATTAACGTAGCTTGTGATTTTATAAGACTTCTAAAAATATTAGCATAATATCAAATTGATTGACAGTCATTGTCAGGATACGGGAATTAAAAATAACTCCTGGTTATGAAGGATCTGCGCTGTGCTCTGTACTGTGAATGCCCGCCAACTTTCTCTCAAGTCCTGGCTGTGGCCTTTCTGTAGGAGCCTTATGGTTTCCATCTTACAGAGAGGAAAGAAGCTCAGAGAGGCTTCTGCGTGCTCTGCCAGAGAACAGTGAGGATGGGAGCCAACCCAGGTTTGGATGCCCACGGAGCTGTTGCTCCAGCCTGGCTGGGTCTTAGTGATCTCTGCCCCAGTGGGTCCTGCTTGGCTTGGTCAATGCATTTACAAAGTACCTTGACATCCCCAGAGGACAGAGCAGGGAAAGCTGCGAGGCCAGTGGACCCTGTGACACCACTGCAGGGAACCAAGGAGGTGCCCCATGGAGGAGAGGAGAGGAGGAACGTCTGGGAGCTAAATTGCATCTTTGTCTCCAGAGAGTGGCGCGAGACCTACCAACAGGAGATGAGGAGAAGCAGCCTTGGGATCAAGAAAACACGACTTTTACAGTTTTCAGGCTGCCCACAACGGAAAGGATGTTGTCAAGAAGTGAACTGACTCATCCCAGGAAGGGTGTAAATGAAAACATTAAGAACATTCCTGAAAACGGAAAAGCTTGGGGTGGGTCTGGTTCTTCTTTCTGCCTTTCCCCAGCTCTGTGAGTCAGGCAAATGGCCTCACCACCTGAGCCCAGGACCCTCAGCTTCAAGGAGGAAGGACAGAGTGTCAGTCCTCACAGGCATCAATGAGGACCTGACCCCATGGGAGGTGGCCCAGGCATGGTCCAGCCAGTACTCTGTGGATCTGCTGGGCAGATGCCCTTAGAAGGGCAGCATCAGACCTTCCAGCAAATGAGCTGCCTGGGTTAGCCATGGATTTTATTTATCCTCACTGTGGCTGTTTTCAGGTAATGTGAATGACTTAGAAAAAAGCAGTTTAGCCATTATGGACCAAGCTCTGGAAATTCCTCAAAAGACTGTGAATGGGCTGCCTTATGACCCAGCAGTCCCACCCCTGGGTGCACACCTGAGGGAAACGAAGCCAGCCAGTGCCTCCGTTTCACTGCAGTCCTAGTCACAGCAACCAAGACACGGGGACAGCCCAGGTGTTCGTGAAGGGTGTGGACAATGTGGTGCACACAATGGAATGTTTGTTTCTTGGCCACAAAAAGAACCAAGTCTTGTCGTTTGCAGCAAGTGGATGGAAGTGGAGGACGTTAAGTGAAATAAGAGAGGCACAGAAAGACAAGCACCGCACACTGCAGTCATGTGGAACATGAAGCAGTTGCTCTCACAGGAATGGAGACCAGAGTGGTGGTTTCCAGAAGCTGGGAGAGTCAGGGAGGCCAGGAGAGTGGGGAGGCAGGGAGAGAGGGGAGGCTGGGGCAGGTTGATCTGTGGGCACTACATCACACAGGAGTAGGAAGCTCTGGTCTGTCTGGCACAGTAGGGTGACTGCAGATAACAATAATGAACGGTCCATGTTGAAAAGCTAGAAGAAAGTACATTGAACGTTTTCCCCATAAAGAAACAATGAGTGCTTGAGGAGATTAAAGTTTAACCTGGTTTAAACATTACACGGTGCATATGAGTTTCAAAACATGGTGTTTCCCATTGTTATGCACCACTTTTGTTTTTATATATGAGTTAAAAATAAATTCAACTTAAAACACAAGAGAACATCTCTGTCTCCCCCATCTTCTTGCTGCCGTCACCAATGTGTGAACAATGACCAGAGCCTCCAGCTGACCTTAGAGAGAAGCTTCTCCCATGTGACCCTGCTGTAATGACAGAGGGCTGGTGGCTTTTCATCCTGCTGCATTGGAGTCTCCAGGGAGGTTGTGCTCAGTCCAGGTAGGCTGGACCTGAATCCCTAGGGCCGCCTGATTCTTCTTGAGAGCTCCCTGGTGATTCAGGGGAGGAAAGGGACTGAAGACAGTGGACAGGCACTGTTCAGCTTCTTCCAGTTCATCCATCTCCTCCTGTGGCATCACCCTCCGAGGTCTCAGGACACCCTGTGATGTTCAGCCCATTTATTTACTGAACCTGGCTATGTCATGACTGATTTTAATGTAGGAAATGAACCCCAGAAGTGTTTCTTTTTCCCTTGCTAATTGACAGCAAGTGTATACTGAGCTGCTGGCCACCACTACCACCACCACCACCACCACCACCACCACCATATTGCTCCGCCCTCTGCCCCAGGGGGAGGTGCATGTGCTCCACCTCCTGCACCCACTCTTCCTGTGCTATCGCAGGCCTGGGCAAGCCCGAGCTTCTTGGGGTTTTGTACACGTGTTGTTCCAGCCATGACTGAGGAGCCCCAGTTCGGGAACTGTCTCCCCTCAGAACACACTGGCCCTGGGGTGACCCTCCCTTTCATGCTTGTCCAGGACACTGAGAAAACAAGCTCTGGCCATCTGCCCGACAGCTGCAACCATTCTGTGGATTTCTGGGGAGTTTCCTGACCTGCTCGGGGCAAGACTGTGTGTCCTTGAAAGCTGTCGGATTTGATTAAAAAATGGGTGCACTTGGGTGAGCTGCAGCTGTCCTGGCACTGTGCAAATCAGCCCAGCCAGGCACGCCCACCAGAAGTTAAGTGCCTGGACGGGTGGCCCCTTGGAACATTCCCCTTTTTCTAAATCTCCATCAGTGCACAGGGAGAGCTTTGCTCACCATGTGGAGGGCAGCACAGGGTGCGTGAACACTCACACATATGCACACACTTGCATACTCACATGCACACCAACACATGGGCACACACACACACACTCATACATGCACACACAGACCCACAGAGCTTGGCAAGGGCCCAGGATCAGAGAAGAGCTCTGTCAACTCATGAATTGGAGGCTGCTTATAGCTATTGTTCGCAACGATCGTTCATTGGCACAAGACAGCAGGCTCACTGCCATTTTTGTAACTGTTGAATGGGCTGGATCTCTGGTGGGTGGCGTGTGATAGCAGGCCACATGTTTTGTTAGTATGCGGTCACTTGATTAACCAATGGAGGCTATTGATGGCATAGACAAATGCTGGCCAATTAAACCAATAGGCATTCGCAGATCATTGAGGAAATATGAATTCTACCCTTGGATTAGTGAAATTGCTGGGAGAGGTTCTCTTTATGAAGATGCCACCTTGCTGCAGTCGCTGCATGGCGACAGGTCTCCCTGCATGCTCTCTTGTGTCTCTACCTGTCCTTAATGGGATGCTCAGTGGACCCTGCAGTGTCCTTGCTACAGGCTGCTGTCCCTGCAAGCTGCAGGATTACAGAGGTGAGACTTTACTGTCCACCACCCTGGTCTGGGTCCCTCTGTCCCCCATCAAGCGTCTTACAGGTTTTCAGCAGTTTCCTGCCTGGTGGAGTCCTGAGCATGGGCCCTGCCTGGCAGCCTTGCGTCGTATCCCCCACGCTCCATGCCGTTCCAGCACCCGATGATTGGAGCATGTGTGTAGATGGTGAATGAGGAGAACTAAGAGGAGCCCTGGGTACCCACAGAACACAGCCTCTTCCTCACCCAGCCAGGCAGAAGGAGCTCCGCCACGCTCTGCTCTCCTGGGCGTGCGGCACCACCTAGTGGCCACATGAGTGCCTGTGAGCCGCCATGTGTGCCCTCAGTGCTTAGCCACTCCTCCCTAAGGAGGAGGAGATGCACTGTGGCTTATGGCACTGCACCGGGACATTCAGCAGGCTTTGTATCCTTTTCTTTGATGCCACCACACTCCTGTTCTCATGGCTGACAGCTCCTACAGCCTTCTAATGAGCTTTCTTCCTCTCTCTCTGCTCCCTCCTGCTGCAAGCCACTCCTCCTGTTCCCTGGCTCCAGATCCTGTTTCCCAGGGGCAGGGTGATGGCGCTGGACCTTAAAGTCACTGAGGGCCTACTGGGTGGATTTGGGTGTCAGCACTGGCCTTTTACAGCTCCAGAGAGAGGGGTCAAAGCACACACCATGCACGTGGAAGCTGACGTTTCCTGATGCCTGACACACACACCCTTGCCAGGGTCTGTGCTCTGGGAGGAAGAGAGGACTAGGCTCTTAGGGGGATGAAGCACATAAGCCGGATTCTTAAGACACAAGTTTTACTGTGTTTCTCCCAAATGGCGAACTGAGCTACATCCGCTTTGGGGTTCTCAGCTGATACAGAGTGTAATTTACAGAATTAAAGATCATAAATGCACAACATCTGTGACAGGGGCTGTACACACGTGTGACCCATGACCATCTGTGTACCAGGCTCATTTCCTTCTATCCACCCGTGTGCCTTCTCTTGTGGAGATCCCTGTTTGTTTTCTAAAACCAGCCTGTGTGTTTTCTGGCCTCTGCTCCTCTATTGCAGGCCTTCCTTACACACACGACCTGGCACTCTCAACTGCAGACTTCCTTCAGGTCCTGTGAAACCCAGCCCAGGGCCACTTTTGCAGGGGCTGAGCCCTCAGTGAGACCTGCAGCACCCTGAGGCAGTGCCCACCATTCGTGAGTCACATTGCCAGGCTTAGACAGTGTGGGGAGTGGAGGAAGCTGGGACAGCACACCACTGGGAGGGGATGGGGCCTCCTACAGCCACTGGTCAGCAGGATCACGCATTGTGACATTCTTTGTATTCCATCTGCCCCCAGAATGGTCCAATGTTCCACTTTTCTGCTTTGGCTTTGAGTGTAGGGTTGAGCCCGGGAGGTGGAGCCGTGTCTTCTGGGGTGTGGTCACTTTCTGCTGCCCTCCCTCAGGACTCTGTTAATAGAGTCAAGTGAAAGGCCTTGAATCCCCATCAGCCTTATCAGAAGCTGGTGACTCAGCTGCACTGTTGCTGAGTGCTAATGTCCTGGGCGGCAGGGAGGTGTGGTTTCTGTTTCCAGCTGTCGGCTGGCCATGGATGTGCAGAATAATGTTGAAAAATATCCCTAAATCTGCAGCCCTTGGAATCAAGGATGAAGTGTCCGTTGCAACATGGTCCACATTGGGCAGGCGGTGTGCAGTGCTGGCTGGGGGGACGTCTGAACCATCCTACACTGGTGCCCTGTGCCTCCTCCCTGCTCTGGGCAGTGGTGCCAGCTCCCCTCACCCCTTCCCCTTCATGGGGAGCGCAGTTCTCCAGAGTTCAGCAGCACTACCCGCTACTCATCTCACCCCCACCTGGGGCCACACACACCTTTTTATTTAAGACCTTCTTCCTTCTTCCTATTTCTGTTCTGGCCCCCTCCAATTATTTTTTGGAAAAAAAAAAAACACATCTCTTCTATCTCTTTCTCACTTCCTATCCTATTTTAATAATGCCAAAATTGAGCCCATTTTCCCTACTCTATAGAATCGACTATTATATTAAGATAGTACTAACAGTGCCTCGATATTAACACACAGTAAGAAATAGTAAGATCCAGACTGAGATAGAATCGATAATAGAACAATATATCAGATTTTAAAGCTACTTCTAAATGGAGAAGGGGCCTATCGGGATCTCCTTGGCAGTGATTGCCAACCAGGGCTGCCTTCTGGGATTCTTTCAGGTGCCTGTAAGCATCGCCAGCAGTGGGTGGTGTGTGCTGTCTCTGCTTCTCTCACACTCAGCTCTACATGTAAGAAGACACAGGACAATTTACACACGTTTGAGCTTGGCCAGAGCTTCTGATCATTTGGGGGAGAAAAGAGGAATCTTGTAGAAGTTACCCTTGGGGTGCAACCTGGAAGAACAAACCATGGCTGGATTGAGGAATTAGAACAGAAGTGACTTGAGACACGGTCTGCAAGCACTGGCTATCTGTGGCAGGACTTTCCTCATTCATTTGGTCCTGCCCAGTGAAAAGGCTCTGGGGGGAGGTTGCAGCATGAAAAGCCAGAGCATCCAATTTGAGTGCTGGATCAAGTTGGGACCCTTGCTGGTCTCTTAGCCCCATCCCTTCCCCAGCATGTGGAAGCCAAGGGTGGGCACCAGCTGCAGAAGCAGGCAGAGAAGTTGCCTGGGGTCCAGCCAGCGCAGAGCCCGAATGCCGTGATTTATGTCTGCTGGTTTGATGGCGGAGTCTCAGCTCATTGAGGTGCAGATGAATAGGTTTATCTCCTCTAATAACTCTGGACCCCATTTCCCTCACTGGAGGGGGCAAGGCAGAGAAAACTTAATCTTGCCCAATAATGGAATTCGAGTCCCATTGGAGAATTTACTGCTATTCAGTGACTTTTGTCTAATCTGGTTATTAAATTCTGAACTCCTGAAGCGGGTGGAGCAAGCCCATGCCCGCAGCTGTGTGGCCTGCCTCTGCCTGTGCCTCTCCTCTGTCCTCCCTTCTCTGCTGCACACCTGGGCCTCCAGGCGTATTACCTTAAAATGGCCGAGGCCTGGAGGAAGGGGTCCCTGGGTCTCCCTCAAGCCCCCAGAGGTGTTGGCTGCGCCCCTCATGGGCTTGAACTCCTTGCTCTGCTGGGCTGCCTTCTGTGACCACCGGCAGAGCCTTGGCCAACCTGGGAGTCCTCAGAGGGGAGGGTACTCCAATCCTGCTCCCCCGGGGAGCTCTCCAGACCCACAGAGCCTCCGACATGAAGCTGGCCCTGGTCTCAGGTTCCCCTCCAACACCACAGCTTTCTCCTTGGGCCTGTGACCTCTGTTGGTGGGACAAGATGAGTGTCTACCTTCTCTGGAGCGGGCAGAGAAAAGAGGTCACTGCACCATGGAATCTGCTCTCCTGAAAACCACCCTGGCCACCGCTGACAGGCCAGAGCAGTGGGGTCCCAGCAGGACTTCTATGCAGCCCAGTCCCTGCCAGCCTGTGGGGGATGGTGGGCACATGGGCAGGCATTCTCCTGGTAGAAAAGGCAAGATGGTAACTATCAGGGGCAAGCAGCCTCTGCTACACACCTGTATAAGTGGGAACCAGGATGGGGATAGGTGACAGGGGAGCTTCAGTCAGCTCTTCATCAGCAGGACAACAAAAGGAAATAATCTGGTAAGTTACCCTGAGCTGGGCCAGTGCACACACCGGCCATCCCAGCAGCTCGGGAGGCTGGGGCAGGAGGACTGCACGTTCCGCTTCCCCTAGAACTAGACTCAGCAACCTCGCAAGACCCTGTCGCAAAATAGAATAAAACAACTGGATAGAGTGCCAGCCTAGCATGCTCGAGGCCCTGGTTTCCATCCTGAGCACTCAAACTGTACACCTATATGAGGTGCAAAGAACCAGAGGCCTCAGGAAGGGTGGCTCTGTGGGGGGTGTGTGAGTGTTGCAGGGGCTGTGATCTAGAGGCAAAGTTGAGAAGGGCGTGTTGCCTGCCTCATGGATGTGAGTGGGAAGAGGCAGTTGTGAGCGTTAGACCCACAGGACCAAAAGGCCACATGGAAGGGGTAAAAGCCATCGAGAACACACAGCCAGTGGGGAAAGGCCCTCTGGGAGGTGGAAGGCAGGGTCCCTGGTGAACAGGCAAAGGCAAGCTTCACAAGTCAGAAAGTCAGTGAGAGCAGAGACAGCACCAGCCAGGGCTCCATGAAGCCTAGAGGAGGGTCAGCGGGCACTGGGGAGCCAGGGAGCAGCCATGAGGGAGGGCAAGAAGAAGGAGCCAGAAGGTAGCCTTCAAGGGGGCTCTACCCCCAACAGTGGTCCCGCAGGTCCCGGCCACGTTCTGCTAGCAGCAGCAAGATCTCAGCAGGTCTTCCAATACAAACTGTCACTGGACGTCTTTGTTACTGAGTGCCACCCTTTCCCTTGGGTTCTAGCAACGTATTTATGTAGTGATGAAGCAACACACAGATGCATTGAATATAATCAGCTTTTAACATCCACTCCGTAACTATTTCAATTCCTTTCCTGTTTTTTATTGGTGTATTTGGTTTTGTGATGAAACAGTATTTAGATTTTCTATGAAGGGTAAAAGAGACAATCTTAAAAAGAATTTTGAGGGGCTGGGGATGTGGCTCAAGTGGTAACGTGCTCACTTGGCATGTGCGGGGTGCTGGGTTTGATCCTCAGCACCACATAAAATAAAATAAAGATATTGTGTCCAAAAATTTAATTAAGAGAAGACGTGAGATAAATGGATACAGTTCAGACTTTGCAATTCGAGTCATGTAGGTTCAAACCCCAGCTTTGCTCCTTACCTTGAGCAGCCTGGTGACCTCTTTGGGCCTCCTTGATTGGACTCATTAAAATGACAACAGTAACTGGATTATAATGAGCTCTCAGTGAGAAAAACCCAGAAAAATCACTAAGCCTCCTAAGTCTTTTCCATCCAAATGGATCTTCCCAACATATTTCTGTGAACTTGGGTAACAAAATACTGCCAGTAGGGACATTCAGGAATCCAGGGTTCCAGTGTATGTGATTTTCATATTACCTCAAAATACTTAGAAGTACTAGACATGTCTGTTTTTATATCATTTTCATAGTCTACCCAGGACCTCTACGTGTGGACTTTGGGGCTGAGGGACTTGAGCACGGTGACCTTTGACTTCTTGCATGTCTTGGGGAAGTTGAGGCTGAGCTTCTGTGAGTAAGCCCCACACAGGCCAGAGTGACTGGTGTCGGCCTCAGGCTAATGAGAAGTTCCCTGGCCACTTCCTTGTGAGAAGAAACGTGCTCTCAAGCTACTTTCTGGACAAGCGTATGAAGAATAGGTTTGTTCATCAGCTACTGACCAGGTCCTCTGACTTGCAGAGGGCACTGCTGGCCACTGGGAACTGCCTCGGGGCTGTACAGCCTCCCAGTAGCTGGCCTTGTTGGATGCTCTTGTCTTTGAATGGTCCACACCATCCCAGCCGCTCTTCTCTTTCTCATGCTCAGTCACCCCTCTGTGTCCTGTTTCTCAAGTGTCTTGTCATCTTCACAGAGTGTCACAGATGCAGGACCATGCCCAAATGCTCACCTGGGAGGGAGCCGGGGTTGCTGCCATCAAGGTGGTCTTAGCATTGGTGAAACCTTAAGAAAGATCTGGAAGAGCAAGATCTCAGGATGTGCTGGAAGTCCCACCAATCCTAGGTGGAGTGAAGTCAGGGACAGGCAGGGAGGAGATGGGCTGAGACACGGATGGCTATGGGAAGACTTCCACTGGCCTGCATGGCCCTTCACATCACTGGGCACATGCATGTCAGGATGAGGGATTGGGTGGACACCAGACCTGCTAGGAGAACTCACAGCTTCACATGGAGAACTCAACAAAGACTTGAACAACAGGGTTTCTCCTCATCTGCCCTAAGTCAGCACGCGGCAGGCCACCTAGGGTGGCACCCTCTTTTGGCTGGTTCAGAATTCATCATACAGGATTATAATGTATTTTGAAAATTTTAAAGTTATTTAGTAATATAAAAGAACTAAAAACTTTCATATGAAAACCCAGCTTTCTGGCCACTCAGGAGCAGTGGGAAATCTGGGACAGGGTGCCCTCTCTGGCCAGTCTGCCCTGCTAGCCTGGAGCAGCTCCTGAGGTCCCCCTTCTGTCTTCTGCAGACCTCCCACCTCCTGCCTGTGCCCTCAGGTCCATGTCTTTGCCCCAGGCTTTTTTTTCTCCCTCCCTCCACCCTGCCAGGCCCAACTAAAGAACTAAGACTCTCTGGAGCTTTCTCCAAGCACCTGGCTCTCAGGGTGCCCTCTCTTCTGTCCTCTGGGTCAGGACACCCGGGGGTGACCAGGACCACATATGGTGAGCCCCCAGGTAGTCATGAGCTTGAGGAGCCACTCACCCTGCAAAACAGGGACATGTAGAGAAAGGGCAGGGGCAGGTGACAGCGCCATCTCCAATATGAGAGAAGGGAACGAGCAACAGGCCTAGTCAAAAAGTTATGAAAAAAGATATTTAGCATCTGTCTAGAAACCTGGCTTCCTTTATGTAGGAACCAACAAAATGTGTTCCCTTACTTCATCTAGTCTTCAAAGGATGACATCCTCAGCATTGCTTAAACTAAAAATAACAGTGTCAAGGCAGTTGTTACGGTTTAGATGTGGTGTGCCCCTAAAGCTCAGGTGTGAAATGCAAGAAGGTTTGGAGGAGAAGTGACTGAGTTATGGCCTTGACCTAATCAGTGAATCTAACCGAGTGGTAACTGGAGGCAGACGGGGTGTAGCTGGAGGAAGTGGTTCATTGGGAGCGTGGCTATGGGGTATATATTTTGTATCTGGAGATGGAGTCTCTCTCTGCTTCCTGATCATCATATGAGCTGCTTCCCTCTGCCACACTCTTCCTCCATGATGTTCAGCCTCACCTCAAGCCTGAGGAATGGAGCCAGCCTTCTATGGACTAAGACCTCTGAAACCTTGAGCCCTCAAATAGACTTTTCTTCCTCTACAGTTGTTCTGATCGCGCCCTTTAGTCACAACAGCAAAAGAGCTAACTAGCAACTTGTGGTTTAGTCTGCAGCCAAGGAGGGATCCAGTAGGAGATCTACCAGCAGAAGCTAAAAGCACCAGTGATTTAGTCTGCAGTCAAGGTGGAGCCAGGAGGAGAAGGCTGGAAAGTGATTTCCATGAGGTGGGGTTCTCTTTTACAGTAAAATAGCACAGAGAGAGCTCACTATTACAATGACAGGTGGCGTTGACATTACTACCATTAAATTAACACCATCGATACCATTTTTCAAAGGCCAGTTGAAGTTAGTGAACATATTTTGTTTATTCCTACATTTTGAATTATCAAGGAAGCATAGGGTTTACTTCTAAATGGATGCCAAATATCCTTTTCAATAATTGTGTGGCTGGGCCAGTTCGTATTGTGAGAAACACGCTCACCTGCCCAAACCCAAAGAATCAACTGGGAGACCTCAGGCTCCGCAGAAGAGAGACCTAAATGATGGTCTCGCAAGATCAGGTGTCTTGTGGTCAGACACCCAGAGATGGTACAGTCAGTATTTTATGCATTAGGGTGCAAGGGCCCTTTCGTGATTCCTCATTGGCTGAGTAGGACTTCCTGAATGTCCCCTGTGTTTTCCTGTCTCCTATTGGGTTATTTAAAGAAATGACCTTGAATTGTCCCCATTCCTCTTGTTCTTCTGTGGTGGGAAAGACTTCTTGGGGTGAACACATTCTGACACATAGGCAGCTCTTACTTCTTTACCTAAGTTATTCTTTCTTAACCAAGAGACTATATCGCTGTTGGTCAGGCTGAGCTCTTCCCCCACCTCCTGTTTGTTAAGGGCTATTCAGGTGCCTGGACTTTGGATCTGCCATATCCATAGGTTATGGTGCTATTGTGTGAGTTAACTGCCTGTAACTTTCCATTCTGCTCTAGGTCCCCTCTGGCTGCATTTCCTACAATCCAATTTTACATTGCAGCCTAAATGCTCTATTCTGAAAAGGACCACTGGACTTCCTATTTCTCACAGTAGATGGCATCGCCCACTCCACCCTTTCTCTACACATTGCTGTCTGTTTTGCAGTGCAAGTGGCTCCTCAGGCTCATGACCCAGTGGGGACAACTCACCACAGGTAGTCCTGGTCACCACTGGAAGTCATTTGAAAGTCATGCTGGAGGTGTGACCCAAGGGAAGTCACAATGTGTGATATCAACTTTCCTAGGATACAGAGACTTAATACCATGGCTGAAACCATTAAAAAACAATGTAACAATTTAGGGTGCTAGTTTAACAGGAAGCGAATGGCCTGGCGCTTTTAGCTTCTGCTGGTAGTTTAAAGACATTGTCCAGCCTGTTCTGCAGCCTTTGAAACTCTAATTATGACTGGCAAGAGGTAAGAGGGAAATATTATCATATGAAGTTTAAAAAGGAATGAGATAGTTTAACATGCTTTAAATTAAGTTAAATTGTTCCATAATCTGTTGGCAATGACCATAAATTAAATATCCAAAACTCAAAGAACTCTTGCATTAAGGAAGTCAGTGGGCATAAAATGTTTTTAATACACTTTTGTTTTGTTTTGTTTTTTGGTACCAGGGATTGAACTCAGGGGCATTCAACCATTTAGCCACATCCCCAGCCCTATTTTGTATTTTATTTAGAGACAGGGTCTCACTGAGTTGCTTAGCACTTTACCATTGCTGAAGCTGGCTTTGAACTCTCGATCCTCTTGCCTCAGCCTCCAGAGCCACTGGGATTACAGGCATGCACCACCACACCTGGCTTTAATACACTTTTATTTTAAAAAGCATTAAATGTTTTCTTCTCTTATCACTAAAATAAGCTATCTATTCACTTAGGGAAAATGAATGTTATTTTCTTGGCTAAGGATTGTTATTTCTGAACTAAGGAAAATTGTCACTTTCCAGATTCCAGGACGCTAGCCAGGAAACAGGCTGCTTGAGCAAGTTCACCCTTGTAAATCTGTCCTTGCAGTTTGCAGGACCTTTGGGCTCTCCAAGGCACCACACCGCCCCCTGGTGTTCAACTTGCTAAAATGCAATACTGACTCAAATAGCCCCTTACAATTGTACTTATTTTCAGAACAATCAAAGTGACATTTAAAAAAAAAAAAAAAGGAAAAGAAAAGAAAAGAAAAAAAAATGATACTACAGACTATTTTGAAATATTATAAACTTGTGTATTTTATATGGGTAGCCAAAATTTTCTAATTTTTACAACATTTAGAATGTTACTTACTTTGTGCCCTTGGTGGGAATGTCCACTAACTTGGAGTATCCTGAAGGGCAGGACCCCTCAGCTAAAACCTGGAGAACCCCCAAAGCCTCAGGCATGTGGTGACACCCACAGATGCCAAAGTAGTGCTACTCTCTGACAAACAGGTCCTGCAAAACAGTGTGGGTCCCATCCCCAGGCAGGTAATCTTGCAAAGTCTTATTTGAGATTCTGTTTAAAATTTTTATGTCAAAGAGCAATAATCAAGCACTATATAATAAAACAGCCCACATGCAATTCCAAGCAGAGCCAGAATCTTCTTTCCCAGGACATGAGCAATGTGACTTAGGCCCTTATGAATCTTACCTGTGCAATTCCATGCAAACTATGGACAAGGCCCATAGGTCTCAGCAGAGGCACCTGGGTCCAGGTAAAAACCCTGAGGCTTAAGATTCATGGCATCAGAAATTGGCCTGGGACCCCAAGGGTTTGTTCCTTGGGCACGTTCCATGTGATAAACTTCTCTGTCCCTGTAACCAATGGCTGGGATTTTCTGGGCCTGCTGGTGGTAGCCTAGTAGTGACAGTGTGATTTTTTTCCTCACAGCATCCAGCGGGCGTGGCGCGAGCATCTGCAGCGGCAGGAGCCCCTGGAGAAGAGGAGCCCGTCGCCACCTTCAGTGTCCTCCGGCAGGCTGAGCAACTCCAGCAGCGTGAACACCTTCTCCGACAGCAGCACACCTGTGAGTGCACCTTCCGTTCTCCTGATTGACTTACCGCCGCTTATACGTCGCCTGGACTCTGGTTCTAGGATGGAAGTTGTGGGGTGTGAGCAGGTGGTTTGCGACAGTGAGGCGCCATGTAGCTCAGGTGCTACCTGGAAGCTAGGGTAGGGGCTTTGTCCTTTCAGAACAGACCAATTCGCAACTTGAAGTTAGCTTTACTGAGTCTGGAGAAAGGGTCGTGTTTGAAATCAGCCTCCGAGGCTCTCACTTCATCCCCTTTTCTCTGTGGACGTGCATCTCAGTTCGTGCCTCCAGAAGCCTTGTGTGATACTAATGTGTCAGAAGGTTAGTACGAGAAAGAGAACTTTCCCAGAGGGAACTGGAAATAGTAGGTAAGCTCAGAGCCCAGGTAGGCCACTCTTGGCTGGTGTGTGCAAGTCACCATGGCCAGATGGGGCCACAGACCCCACCTGAGGGGCAGCCACCTGGAAAGGTGTTGCCATGTAGGGATGCAGGTCAGATATTGTCAAATGTGGCTCCTTCTTCAGGAGATGCCAGAAATCCACGGAGAAGACGTGGAAGGTAAGCTGGAGACTACAGTGGGGCTACAGGCCACCAGCACACAACTCAGAAATAGGCTAAGGAATGAAGGAACTGTTGATGTCTGTGTGTTAAAGAGAATGACATATGTGTCTGTCGGGTGCCTAGAAACCAGGGTGTTATGGATTCAGCCACTGTAATGCTGAAAAGTAAGAAAGAGAAATGGAGTAAAAAAAATATTCCTTTGCTACTTTGCTCTAATGTTCATTCAGTTGTGAAAAAGTTTTCTCAAGATGCAGAATGGTGTATTCACATTGGGATCAAGCCAAAGTTACTTTATCTGAGAGGTGTTCTGATGACCGATTTGCACATTCTTTGGTAACTGGTTTTATCTAGAGATGGACTTTTCAAGGGAGGGAATGTGTTGCTTTCATAGCTGTGAAATAAATGGGACAGAAGGTCCACTTTTAACTGAGAGCAGCAATGGAATATTTGGTGAATTTCTTGGGAGAGTGTCTTGTGGGGTGGCTTGTATCTGAGCGCGCTGTCACTAGAGGGTGCAGGTAGACCACAGTGGGAGATACCAGGCCTAAGGTTGCAGATGGTGCATGATTTGTGAGTAAAAAATAGGGTGCAAAGTGAGTGTTTTGCAGGCCGTGGCTGAAATGCCACAGGAAGTGCAAATCCAGGGTCTTAGACGACTGAACTTCCACGATGGAGATGCAGTGTCAGAAGTTGATCCCTCAGGTCTGAGGTTTAGATTTCCTGCATTTGTGACTTCTCGTGGCCACACTTCAGGGTGACTGACGACCATGGTTGCTAGGCTGGGGTGGGGAGTTGGTGTGAGCACCTTGGGCGCTTAATCCTTTGGTGGATTGAGACCCTGGAAGAGAACACCTGACCTCCTCAAGGGGCAACCCACTCATGCCAGCAGCTCAGGGGCTAACAGCATGCCCTTCCCCCACCTGGCCACCATGATCCAGCTTCCACACACCATTGCCAGCAGCCACACCTTCTCTAATTCATCCTGGCTTCTCAGCCCCTGCTGTTTTCGGTAGAGGAGATTTTCTCTCTCAAATGTCCCCAGCACCTGGGTTTGCATAATGTGTGTCAGACGGTGGGTGGTGGGCGTGACATCCAGCTGACCCCTGTATCATCTTCCTTTAGTTCTGAGGTCATGGGACAGGGATGATGATGGTGTCAGTGTGTGGAAATTTGCCTCAACCCCTAGTGCCTACAAAAAAATGAAGAGTCGGGCGGATTTAAAAACAAAACAAAGCAAAACTCATTATTGGAACCAGTTATCAGAGAGCAATCAGAGACCCAGCCTGGAATTCTAATAGAGGCTGCTGATTATCAGGGTGACTTTGATGTCAGCGATGGCCATGAGGTGCCACTCAACATACAAAGTAAAATAAAAGCTTAAGATGTCAGGATATTTCCAGTCTTGTTTGTCAGGCAGGTGAAATATCCAAGATGTAATTTTTAAAAACCGCACACCTAGTTGTGTGGATGGACACATCTCTGAACCCTTTTCTCCCACGGTTGTCACTTGCCCTGGGCCCCTGCGGGGGACTCACTCTTATCTCCTCTGGGGCTTCTAACCTTCCTGGAGATGAGGTGGGAAGGTGATCCTGCCCAGCCCATAGGAGCTGCAGGCAGGAAGATGCACTTTTTCCACCCGCCAGTGGATGGACCTCATTTATGGAGGGAATAGAATCACCCTGGCCCGCACTGACCAAGCCATGATGGAATCACACTTTGTTATCTGTAAATTTAAAGTCCCCTGTGTAAGTTGAAGGCCATCTGCCAGGGAAGCTCTCCCTGGGGAGCCCCCTGGCCTGACTCTGGCTTGATCTCTGCTAGCTCATGGACTCTCAGCCCCCTTTCTCTGGGTCAGCTGTTGCAGATGCCTCCAGACCACAGTCAGTCTTCTCAAATCTGATCAACTGCTGTTTTGTCTAGAGTTCCAGCCTTCCCTCAGCTAGCCTCCAACACAGCCTCCACCAGAGGCAGGCCTTCTTTGCCTGCTCCCCGAGCCTGGTCAGTGCCACCATCCCCAGGTCTGCAGTCACTGTAACCACTGCCTGTCTCCCCTGTCTGCCCCAGACACAGGCCACATGGGAAACCAACTCCTTGATCTGACTGAGTCCCTGTGCTGCACTAAGAATGCTGCTTCTGTGTGCTTCTGCTCGGATCCTTGCAGCTAAACATAGTGGTTAAGGCAGCTCTCAGGATATTTCTGCTCTAAAATATGTAATGACAGCACCGTCTAAGTCTGAGCTTCAGATTCTTCATCTTAACAAGAGCTGAGCCCTTGTTGGGTGCTGGGCTCTCTGCTGATACTTCTTGTGGATTATCTTATTTAATCCTCTCAATGGCTATATGAGGGTAGCTCTGTTATTATCTCCAATTTACAGACGATGAAAATGAGACTTGGAGAGATAGCTAACCTGCCTTGGGCTGCATGTTGGGTGGAGCTGGCTAGTGTCCTTCTTGCTGGATTTAGGCCTGGTCAAGCGGTAGCGGTAGCAATCAGCTGCTGCATTTCTAAGACTGTTTTACAATTTGACAGCTATAAACAGTGAGTAAGACACTAGAAAAATTCCATGTGATTTTATAAATTGCCTTGATCCATGTTCTTTGGTTCAAATCTCACACCTCAACTATTCAATACTAAGTTAAAGATCAACAGGAGGGAAGCCAATGTTAAGGAAAGACGATACTAAGTTATGTTAGCTATCTGAACAGTAAGTGCTCTCACCCCACAATGTATCATATGGTAATAAAAAAGTTGTTTTAGAAATAGGAATTCTGCATGGCTACCGTTACTGGGGAGTGGAAATTGTGGGTGTCACAATGGAAAAGCAAGAGATGACTTCTTATCTCTGGGCTCAATGGTGCACCCCTGTAATCCCAGTGGCTCAGGAGGCTGAGACAGGAGGATGGCGAGTTCAAAGCCAGCCTCAGCAATGGCAAGGTGCTAAGCAACTCAGTGAGACCCTATCTCTAAATAAAATAGGGCTGGGGATGTGGCTCAGTGGTTGAGTGCCCCTGAGTTCAATTTCCCATGCCTCCCCCATCAAAGAAAAGAGTTCTTATTTTAAAATATCAGTCATTGCATAGAGGACAATAGAAAAATGCTCCCTGGATTTTTATTAGTCAATTTTACATGCTAAGATGCTTACAATCAGTTCTCAGCTCTGAGACACCTGTAATTTATCTAACAGGATATAACAAAAAGAAACCATGAAACATGTATCATAAACTCTGAGACTTATAATTTTCTTTTTCTTTTCCTTTTTTTTTTTTTTTTTGTGGTGCTGGGGATTGAACCCAGGGCCTTGTACATTCAAGGTAAACTCTCTATGAACTGAGCTACAACCCCAGCTGAGACTGATAACTTTTCCAAGTCAGTATTGTCTGACTTTGCAAATAGATCCAGAAAGATCTTTGTGATGGCCTGCAGAGGTTCTGTCTCATTGGCTTGGGTGGGGTCTGGGATCTGGGCCTCCTCATGGCTACTCTACTTTACAAGTATAAAACCTCACAGAGCCTGGGACCCAGAAAATTCTCAGCTGGTGTTAGTTGAATCTGCTCTTGATCTTATCCAATGTAAACTCAAAATGCTGTGGAGATGAGAGATGGACATGTTAACTTGGTACGGATTGTGGGGCACAGTGCCCGTTCTCCCTGTGAATCCCTGGGAACTGATGTGTGTCCCAGAATTTGTATTCCTAAGCTGAGACTGGAGCTATACGCTGCAAAGTAAGACATCTATCATTTGTTTTAGTGTTGCTCTAATTAAAAATGAGTTTTCAAGTTCTGAAGATGAAACCAGGGTTAAGTCCTTTGCTTCTGAATGAGTGGGGGGGTCTCCTCAGAGGGCCCAGCCTCAGGGTCGTGAAAGCAAGGCTAACTCATTCTACTTCCTTCTAGACCCCAGGAATGAGGAATGGGAGGACCCCCTGCATCCTGGGAAACAGGCCCAGCCCCACCCAGCTGGTCCCACCCCCTGCAGTAGGAGGAGTTACAGTTCTGAGCAGTTCAAGAGCAGGGGTCTGGGAGGGTTGGGGATCTGGGCCCTCACTGGTCCTGGAGAGAGACTGGGAGCCCCTAGACTGGTGGGGTCTATGAGTGAGTGGTCCTGGCATTTATCAAGAGCTCCAGCTCAGTTGGTGCTGCCCCTGCAGCCAGAGGCGTGCACCTTGCTTTCAAGATGCATGGCCCTTTTAGATCTTCAGTCTCAGGGCTTTAAATACAGCAGGGGATCTGGTGAGAGGAAGCCTTGTCACATCATACCCACTTGGGGGGAACTGGGCCCTAAAAGGGGATTTCCAGGCCCTTTCCAATGTGAGCCTGAAAGCTGTGAATTATGGCATCTGTAAGCCTCATGCTACTTAATAATTGAATGGCCTAGATTTTCCAGGTCAGGAGCAAGTTGCCATCTTAGCCCAGCTGTTCTCAATCTAGGTCCC